TTTTTTTTTTTTTTTCTGTTTTGAATGGCCAGGCAGGGTAGCTTGGGGTTGAGAGCAAGGAGGCCCCCCTGGGTGGGAGGCCCAACTCCGCAGCTCCTTCCTGGCTGTGTGATGCTGGGCAGTAGCCTTGGACTCACGGGGTTTTTCTGGGGATTAAATCCGTGAAGACACAGGAAGGCACTTAAAGGAAAAGTACCTGTGTCGAGACCGTGAACGTGTTTTATACGTGGCAGTCATCACTGGGTCACAGCCCTGCCTTCGTCATGATCTTTCAAAAGTTAAGCTGTTCTCACAGACTGGGCCACGTTCAGCAGAGCTTCGCGGTGAAGGGCCCATGTCTGGCCACTTTTGGGGGCCGGACAGACCCGGGTTTGATTCCCAGCCGTTTGCGAGCGTGGTGACTGGAGCTCAACGTCCTCAGCTGTAAAATGGGATGTGACATTAGCCTGGCCAAGTAGTTGCGGGGCTTACACGAGACAGCACAGGTAAATCCCTTAGCCGGCGTCTGCCGTCATTATATCTTGATCTAGCCGAAGGCCTAGTTGAGATCAAGCATCAGAAGGCAGGTATTTGTAGGAGGTGGGCTGTAAAAGACAGGATACTGTCAGATTTTAGTTAATAAAGGAACGACGTTAAGTGCACTGTGGGATTCTAATCACCTGAGTTTTTCAACTCAGCGTAAAAGAGTTCTCATTTCTGTACTGTCTTCTCTCCGTCTTTCCTCTGTGTGACTGGTTTCACCCTCGTCGTCCTCGATACCTGCCAGCAGCCTGCGATTACTGAGTGACCTGGGGTTTTTTTTTTACCGCACACTCAAAAATCCCTGTTCTTGTCCTAGGGCTGGGATCTCTTCTATGATGGAGGGAAGCCGGCAGACGCGAGTGTCACGGCCGTACAAGATCAGCGAATCTTCAAAGGTCTGTGAATGGCCGCTCGCCACCCTGTGCAAGTTGCCTACGAAGTGTGGTATTTTTCTGATGAGATCAGTCCTAAAGGCCAGACGGATTTTCTGTTCCTGGTGGTGGTGTTAGCCTCCTTAACAATGAGTACACAGGTAGCTCGGCCACTGGGTAGAAAACATCCGAAACTCAGAGCAGGAGCGTGAGGGTCGTTAGAGATACACCTTGACTCGCTTGTTCTTTGCCGCAACTCAAAGACGTGGATGGGACAGAAGGAAAAAGCCATGGGATGTGTGTCCCCACTTGGGGGCCCCAAAACTCCCAAGGACACGTCCATTGACAAGCCAGCACCTGACCTAGCAGTCGGGGTCACGTGTTGCGTACCTGGATATTAAGGGCCCGGAGTCTTTCCCCCAGTCTGCCTTTCTGGGACCCTAGGAGCGAGTGAGGGTGGGTTCCCTATGGCCGGCCTACCAACCCGTGTCATGCTGGCCATATCAGGATCACCCTGGCAGGGGGGGAACGTATCCAATTCGGAATGCGTATGCCAGGCCCCACCCCAGACCTACTAAATTACAATCTGAGAGCAGGACCTGGGAATCTATACCTTCAGCAGACTCGAGGCTACTATAAATAAGGATTGGGGGACAAGTTTTCAGGCCAGTGTCCGTTCACACCTGTTTCTCTATAAATATCAGTAACACCTCTTTATTTCTTTAAAAAAAAAAATATTATTTTTTTTTTTAATTTTTTTATCACCACTTTTCTTTAAAAGTGGCCCTTTTGCAGATTTAAATGTTCTGGTTACCTCAGATCGTGCATTTTCACTGGGGCCAATATTGCCCCCAAAATTGGTTCTTGGGAGAGGGGAGGGTTTAAAAAGAGTTCTCTTTTTTGCGATCAGAGAGCACAGCTATACGTACAGTTCACGTACAAATACACAGGATACGTGTGGCGTTAGAATCTCATGGGCGCCGTTAGGAAAAAATATGTCAAAAGAAGACTGAAAAAAGACGGAGGTAACCACTTTAGATATAGGGACCTGTGAGCAGCGTGTAGATTTGAGGGCAAAACAGAGGTTCTGCAGATGTGCATAGAAGGAAAACGGGGTAGAATTTTCAGGAGAGGTGGGTTCTCCGGAGAAACGGGCTCTTATTTCCATCTGAGTTACCGAGAAGGCTCTTGCCAAGCCCGGCTTTATCTGCCGCGAAAACCCAGAAAGGTCTCGCGGCTGTCTCAAAGAGGCTTTGTTTCAGAGCCTGGCTGCAGAGACAGTACGGCTTTCTGAGCGTGGTGATAGTGCTGGAAATCTTTGTCCCCGAAAAGCGCGTTCCGGGTTCGTTTCTGTCGGAATCTATCCCGTGGTTACATGGTATCCGTGTTTCTGACTTACTGTACTTAAAGAGGACCCGGAGGGTAAGTGTAGCCTGGATTTTCTAGACGTCAAACACACCCAAGTAGGCAGCCCCCAGATTACAGCAGAGATTACCGGACCCTCCAGTCCCAGTCGCCAGCTTCTGCGACTGGAGTGTTGTCTGCCCTTGAACTCAGTGCGAGTCAGGCTCCTTTCGCCGGTTACTACACCTCTGAGGTCTGGCCCTGTTGCTGCCTTTAAGCGGTAGGCTGTTCACCTTCTGGGCGCGATGGCGTCTTCCATTGTGTGACGGCCGCTGCTGGTTCATCTGCTCTGAAATGTGTTGATCCGTTCTGATGATGAATCCCGTTTGCATGTAAAACACTCCGGACGTGCTGCATTCTGGCTAGGGTTGGCTGCTGAGGGCCTGTGTTTCTTCTCTCACGTCGCCTTGCCGCTGGTGGAGGCACTCAAATAGGGAATAAATGAACGAGTAACAGTTAGCACCATCGAAGAGTGTGGGGGTCGAAGCTTCTAGGTTTTAGGAAACGCTGCGACTCTGTTGCTGCGGTCCCTTTGAAACCGGGAGGTCGTGTTTGGTGTTTTTCGGTTTTGGGTTTTTTTTTTTTCTTTTGAAAGTCTTCATCTCTGCCGCTGCAGTAAAATATCCAGAAACGGGTTGTCACTGAGACCCAGGTGAAGAATGAGCGTGCCTACTTAGCATGGAGACCCAGTTTTAGAAACAGTGGCTGCCCTTTTCCCTGCCCTGGCTCACTGGAGCAGATGGTCCTCTCCGCAGCTGTCATCTGGGGCTGTCCCCATCCCCCACCCCCTCCAGGGGGCTGGTTTTTCTTTTTACGCCGCAGCTGGGGGTCCTGTGTGCACCCGTTGAAGTGTGCTGGCCCCGCATCCCCACCAGCTTACAGACAACCGGGGGCCTGGGGCGGGGGCACACAGCCCACCTGACACCCCTCGCTTCCGGGGGCTTTGAGCCCTCGCGGTCACGAGAGGGCCTGCCGGTGTGGTGCTTTGACGCTTCCTTCCTCGAGTCCGCGCCTGAGAGGGGCCCCGAGCCGGGGCGTGTTGCAGCCCAGACCAGGCCAGCCGGGCTCTCTCTGCCGGTAACCAGAGTAGGCGGAGAGATCCACGTATGGAACCTCCGAGAAACTGTCCTGTGATGTGAGAACAACACAGCCTGGCTCTCCGCACTTGGAAGGGAAGGCAGCTTCGGGCAGTACCTGTTAGGCGTCTGCGTCACAAGTCCGAGAACGTTGCCCGCACCTGTAACCTAGAGGGAGCGGTGGGTGTTGGGAGTGGCCGGATGAGGAGGGACCGCGGGGAAACAGTTATTACCCCCGTCACGGGTGTGTTGGGAGGAAGGGAAGAAGGCGATGACACACGGCAGGACACAGGTTGCAAAGTGGCCTGCGGGGACCTGGCGATCCCCCCTACAGCTGCTCACACCTGCTGAGCCCTCAGCCCACCTCCCCTCACCCGCACCACTTCCCCTTTGAGGCTCGGTGCCCGGCCAGCCCTGTCTGCCGACACCCTCCAATAGACCAGCTACGTCACCGATGTGCCTGCACGGCCTGTGCCTCCCTGTACTGAATTTCGTGGTGTTTCTGACGTAAACAAACCGGGCGGTGTGTGGATCCCGAGCCCCCGGAGCCTGATTGGTCTTCCAAGGATGGAGACGCTGCTGCCTGGGTCTGAAGTGGCCTCGTGCCCTCCAAAGCACGTGGCAGGCAGACAGCACTCCGCAAACGTCTCCCGACCCGGGTTGCTTGAATTGACCCATTTTCGTTGTTCACGTGAACTGATTTGTTGATTCCGGTGCCGTGTGGTGATTAAAAGTTCGGGCTCCGGAATCAGACCTAGCCGCAAATCCCAGCCCTGCCTCTCAGCCACTGTGGGACTTTGGGCAAGTTTCCTAGTCTCTGAACCTCAGTTTCTCCTTATCTGGGAAATGGGCATGATTACAGACCTTCCCTTGGAGGAGGGTCATTGTGACCCGCGAATGAGAGAGCACATACCCAGCGCACAGTGCGAGGTTCGTAGGAGCCCTGCCCTGGGGAAGAGGCCACGCTCCTGCACTTTTCCTGATTTCTCGCTTTTCTGAAAGTAGGACCCCCCCCAGAGCACTTTAGTCGGGATGCATCGCGGAGTCTCTGGGACCCGCCCCATCCCTGGACCCATCAGTAGAAGTGGGAGCCCCTCGCATGGCTGGGCGCTAAGCATTTTCGAAAACACGGAGCGAGCAGTCTTCCTTGGTGGGAGGCCTCGGTGGGAGCTCTGGGTCTCCTGGAACGGGGCCCCGTCCTCTTAACGTCCCATCCCGAGTGGTAAAGGCCCTCGTCCGCACTTGCGAGACCAGGAAAAGGGGGCTCAGAGGCTTCTCAGGGCTTTCTCAAGATCACTCAGCTAGTAAGTAGCAGACCTGGGATTCAAACCCAGCTTCTGTCCGCGTTTACAGGCTATACCTGAGCAACTGGGCTGCCCCTACGGGACGGCCATTTTTAAACCTATGTGCTCCGGACCCACAGTAAGAAAGAAATGGGGCAGGGAGAGAAAAAAAATAAAACTTTGAGGAACTGTATTTAGAAAGAAAAAAAACCAGGAAAGACGAACGAGGAAGAGAGATTACGTTTTTAGGGATTGTATTTATGCAGAAAGACGCTAGGTAGGAAGGAAAGGAGAAAGGTAAGTTTTTAGAAGGGCCACATTGTTTGGTAAGTGATCTCTGCCCCCACCGTAGGGCTCAAAGCCACACCCCGAGGTCAAGAGTGTGCTGCTCCGGCGACTGAGCCAGCCGGGCGCCCCTTTAGGAGCTGGCGTTTGAAAAGAAAGAAGGACCGCTGCAGGGTGTGCACCGAATCGCCCTCGTTTCCCAGGGTCCTGCCCGCCCGCGCTCTCGTTTCGTTAAGTGCTGGTGGTGAGGCCCGGGGTTGACCCCGGGACCCTGCAGGGGGGCCGGGGGGCGGGGCCGGGGGGCGGGGCTG